TGGTATGTGGGCCTGATCAGCATAAAAACCGAATACACTTGGGACCATATTAAGATATCGATCAAAAACTTTAAGTTAAATTTTATTCAAATTCGAATCGATTGCAATGTTTTTTTTTTTTTTTTTTGAATCTAAGACCTTGAAAAACTAGGCAAATCTTTAACTTTTCACACTTCCGTCCTGAATTAAAATCATACTTGTAGATTCAAATCGATTAAACTCAGGGTACAATACCATAAGTATTGTAAGTATGTATGTGAAATTTTATAAAAAGGAAAAGTGAATATGTATGTATATATTTTTTGTATTTGTTTAATTTTTGGCTTACTTTTTTTGTCGCTGTTGTTGTTATTCCAACATTTAATGGCATGACATGAATGTAATAAATGACAGACAACAATCTGTGTCAAAAAAACTGTGTTTACCTCTAACTCTCACTCTGGCTCCCTCACCATGACAGACTTTTTACAATGTTATGCTTTTATTTATTTATTATTTTTTTTTTTTTGCACAATATTTTCACAATTTTTTAAAAGTAGTACTTCTACTACAAGTATTTTAGGTAAAATTCATGAAAAAAGAGAAGAAAAGTAGGAGCATCCACAACGCTGCTGCTGCTGCATCATCTTCATCAACATTTTACATTGATGTCGTTGGCTTGACTTTAGCGATTCTACAAACTCAGGGATTGAGATAAAAAATTTTATATTTCAGAGGTGGCTAGAAGATGTTTAAAATAAATTCTAGCGTTTAAAAGTATGATGTAGTATGGGGTACAATGAACGTTGTTGAAAGCAAATGTAAAACAATAAGACAATTATTTAAAATAATTTTTTGTCAAGTGTTATTAAAACAAGTGAAGGTTTTTACTTCTTCTTTTTCATTTTTCGAGTTTGTTCTATGGAGGACAATTAAATCACAGCTGGATTTTATTTATACCAACGACATAAATGTCGTTGTGCAAATGTGCAAGATTTCTGTGTAAGTAGTACGTACCCAAGTACTGATACAAGTTATACTGCTCGTATTTTTTTTTTACAACAATTTCAGACACACAAAATTAAATGAGAATAATTTAAATGTTGTATGAAGAAAACAACAACAATGAATTAAGTAGAATTACAAAAACAATACAAGAAATGAAGAGAATTTTATGTTTAAGTATAATAATGTAAATGTGAAAAGATTGTAATTTGCAAATGACAGACAAATGTGTAATAAATGTTAAAATAATAAAAAAATTTCACCCACTGACGGTAGTCAAGGAAGTACCTAGTAGAGGTATGTTTATTAAAATGTGATATTTTGAGAATTTTGCAAAAAGATTGGAAATTTATGGAACGGCCTAAGGTAGCGTTTAATAATTGGCTTTATACAGAGGAAAATACGTCAAAGGTGAGCTTATCACGTTTGTTAATATTTAGACAATGGATGTGTATACAACTACCGTTGTAATTTTGACAACGAATCATTGTCATTGCAACAACGCATTATTGTCATTTCCATTACGCAACGTTCTGTTTGACAACATAACGTTGTCATTTTGGTAACACATAAGTTTTTGTTGATTTGATAACGTAGTGTATTTTTTATATTAATAGTTTGACAACTTTTCGTACATACTTTGACAACAGTTGTTATTGAAAAATTATAAACACTTTGGTGTCAATTTGGTACCAGACGTGTATAATTTTAAAACGGCTTTTTTTCCTCTGTGTAGTTATTTACTTTAACTTTACATAATGCAGTATAATTGTTTGAATTAGATAAGTTTATTTAAGTTGTATTGCAATCAAAAGTGTAGATAGGAGATGTTGTAATGCGATTTCGAAATACCTCAGTTGTTTTAGGGGTCCATAGGTGAATCCCTAACAAGTGTCGTATTTGTTTCATCGGCTATTTAAAATCGATTAAATTTTAATTCTTTATAATGAAGTTAAACGAAAATCATCTATAAGAACTTTGTACTTTTTCATAAGTTTGTATTAATTGGATAAAAAAAAAGAATTAATAGAAAATTTTCATAAAAAGTTTTAATTTTTCAAAATTTGTAATAGAACTTTATTCTGAAGAGAACTTTTAGAATTAATATATTTAATTTAATTTAAAACTTTTATACAAATTTATTTTTAATTTAAATTTTGCTAAAATAGTTTTTTAAATTAAAAATTTATGTAAAATGTTATAGAAATTAAAAATTTTGCTAAAAAATGTATAATCTAAAGTCAAATTTTTTTAAAAAATTTAAATTTATAAAATTCTTAAGTTAAACACTTTTTCTATAAATTTACTATTTAAATACAAAATGAATCGGAATTTTTCTATTAATTAAAAAATTTCGAAAATTTTCTAAAAATAAAAACATTTTTCAAGAATTCTTTGCAGACTGAAAATTTTCCAAAAAAATATAGAAATTTAAAGTTTTTTAAAAACTATTTAAGTTCAATATTTTTATAAATTTAAAGTTTTTAAATTTTCAAAAAATTGGAATTTTAAAATTAAAATTTTTAAAATTTTTTAAACATTAGAATTTTATAAAAATTTTAATTTTAAAATTTTATAAAGATTTTAAATTTTAGGAAAATTTTCTATAAATTTCAATTTTTAAAACTTCTTAAAAATTTAAATTTTTAAAATTTCCTAAAAAAATTAATTTTTAAAATTTTCAAATAATTTTAATTTTTAAAATTTCTTAAAAATTTAAATTTTTAAAATTTTCTAAAAATTTTCCAAAATTTGAAATTTTTTAAATTTCCCTAAAAATTAAAATTTTTAAAATTTTGTAAAAATTTCAAATTAACAATTTATCAAAAATTTTATAAAATTTAAGTTTTTAATCATTTCTAAATACAGATTTTTTTTTAAATTTTCTAAAAATTTAAATTAAAAACTTATCCAAATATTTTAAATTGTCTATGTATAAATAAAAAATGTTCCGAAAATTTTCCATAAATTAAATATTTTTAAAAAATTTTTTTACAAAATTTTTACATACATTTTTTTTAAATTATTTTTTTCAGTTTTCTAAAAATTAAAAATTACTCCGATATTTTCTATAAGTTAAAATTTTTGAAATTTAAAATTTATCAAGAATTTTCTGCAGATTTTAATTTTATAGGAAATTTTCGATATTTCTTTATTTTCAAAAAAACAAGACCCGCTTTTACTGCAAATCACTGTGCAACTGAATTTAGAACCCGTGCTACGTACATCATCACATTCTACTTGTATTTACAACAACTATTAGTTGTTTGCTGAGTGTGATGCTTTTTAAAAAAAAAAATTCGGATTTGTTTTGGGTGAGTAAGTTTATAAGTTAAAATTGAAAAATTATCAAGAATTTTCTTCAGATTTTAAATTTATAGAAAATTTTCGATAAACTAAATAATATTCTATAAATTAAAAATAAATTTTTTTGATTTCCATTTCCATAAATAAGGACATTTTAAATAAATATTTACTTTGAAACTTTTTTTATTCTTCAATCAGCCTCACTCACAAGTTAAAAGCAACACTTAAGGCGTGAAAATTTTTTTTAACAAACCACTTTAAAACGAGGTCGACTGCTGTCTGTCATTATGAAAGAAAAAATATTGTATATAATACTCTAAAATACTTGTTGCAAATATACATATAACGCATTTTTAATAACACAATTTTTCATATCAATTGTGCCACACATTCAACACTTCATCATCACACACTTGTACTACCAACTTTTGCCATTTTCCCCACAAAATTTTTGTCCAAATATAAATTCATATTTTATTCTACATTTTAATAACCACTTATTCACACATACCATATTACTACTTAAAATTGTATATTTCTTTTTTTTTCTTCAAAATCAAGTGGCTTTAACACTTGTAATCATAATAATGAAAGGAAAAAAATTTTATAAGCTAAATAATATGAAAAGAACCCAAACTTTTAACACACAAAAATTTTCAATATGTATAGTTGAAATATATACAATTATACATATATATGTACATAGTTCATATGGCGCCCACACCATCCGCTCCAAAATTGCAAAATATTGAAGGAAAAAATTTATATAAAAAATCTCAACTGACTTGAGCCTCTATAACACCCGCTAAAACCATGTGCAGCAAAACCAACAAACAAAAAAATTAAAACAAGAAACAGCATTTCATTGAGTAGGAAAGGAGAAGTAGGGAAAAAAAACCCATTGTCAGGCACTTGGGCAACTGTGCTATGATGATGCTTGCAAAAATGGCAAAAAAAAAATATATTGAAGATGGAAAAAATTTAAAAAAAATAAATAAATGCTGTTGATGTTGCAAGTGCTGAAGTGGCTACTGATGTTGCCTCAATGACTGACTGACGGACGGACGGGCGGTTGTAAGGAAGGAAGGTCTGCATCAGATTCTTGTTAAAGTACAATGATTCCAACTCAAGTTTCAAAAAGTGTTTTCAAGTATGCGTGTGAGTTTCAAAATAAAATTTAAGGAATTTGCTTAATCTTATGACCAACATTTGTTAAAATAATTTCAAATTATCTATTGATTTAAATGTTTGTAATTTCTTAAAGTAAATAATTAAATTTCCATAAAAATTAGCTGTTAACTTTAAAAGCTGTTTTTAAAAGGACATACAAAACTTCGTCCTTTTTAAATAAAAGGGGATTTTTTTATTGCTGTTGTATAGTAGTAAATAAATATGTAATAAACTTCTTCTTACTAACTGATTTTGTTTTTATTTTATTATTCTTTATATATTTTTCTTCATTTTATTTATATACCACCATTCTTTTGTAAGTAATCCACCCTTGGTTTAGTTTGTGCCAAAATACAAGGATTTTTTTTTTGTTTTCATTTTTCCTTCCTCGTTTCATTCATTACACAACAATAAATTCATCACATAATTCTGCTTCTATTTTATTGCAAAACACAGCAGCACAAAAACAAAACTTGCAACTTAAAACTGGATTTTTCTTTTATAACAAACAAAAAAAAACTTTTAGATTTTCAATTTACCTTTTTTCAATAATTTTTTTCAATAAAAATTTCAATTCAATTTTTATACTTCAATTATTTTGCCTTAAAGCACTTTTAAATTTTCAATATTTTCTTTTTAACTACAATTTTGTTTTAATTATTTTTTTTAATTTATAACTTCCTTTTATTTTGTATAATTTTGTCACAACACTCACACGCGTTTTTATTTGTTATACTAAAAGCAAAATATAATTTTTCATATTTATTCCAATAACAAATCGACCGTCATTAATATTATACACGCTTCGCGTTTACACGTTATTTTTGATTATTTTTAAGAAAATGCGTCAAAAAACAAGACCCGCTTTTACTGCAAGTCACCGTGCAACTGAATTTAGAACCCGTGCTACGTACATCATCACATTCTACTTGTATTTACAACAACTATTAGTTGTTTTCTGAGTGTGATGCTTTTTAAAAATATTTTCTGATTTGTTTTGGGTGAGTGAGTCTCTGGGTTTTTGCTCTCACTTCTTTTGTGTGGTGTATTTGTTTCGATTTTTATTTCGGTAATTCACCACTCCACTGTGTGTAGGTTTCTTTTGCGAAAGAAAAACGTAAATGTTATACAATGCAATGCGTAATCGAACACAAATACGTTATATGCCTTCAACGTACGCGTAAAGACTGAAATGTTTGAATTTGTTTGCGAAATGCAAGAGTGTGTTGAGTTTTTCCAGTCACAGTCGACCAGCCAACAGTTTTTAGGTGTTGTTAATTTAGCGTTTTTTCCCTATCACTTCTTAAGGGTGATTGTATCAAAAAAATTATGTTATTTAGATGACTCCAAAAAAAGGATAACGAGAAATCACTTCAGAATGAATAAGACCGAGGTTAGTATAATGGTACGTATTCTGAATAGACACACCGGTTTATGGATACAACTAATCAAAATTAGACCAATGGATTCAAACCAATGTAGAGCTTGCGGAGAGGACAGTGAATCGCTGAAAGTTAGACCAAACTATCTTGGAAGCAATGTTATTTCAAATATTACATTCCTCAGGCACACTGATTGGAAAGGTCAAAGGATATAAGTCCTGCAAACTAAGATTCTGAACATTGGACGATAAACTTCCCCCACCTTGATGTGATTGTAATCCGGGGTAAAAGAGGTGCTAGTGTCAAATATATCCTGGTGCTAGTGTCAAATATATCCTAGGCCTTTCCTTATAATGATTTGACCTGGGGTTGAACCAGACAACCATATAATCTTGCTGTCAACGAGAACGGATAAAAAAATCATAGACATGTAGTACCACTCGAATATAGGATCGGTGGATAAAAGTACAAAAATCTTATAAGACAATGCTATATTATGTGTGTAAATCCCTCAAGGGGCATGTTACTTTGATGAACATCTCCTATCTTGGTGTGATTGCATTCCGGGTGAAAAGAGGTGTTTCCAGTATCTCCAGTCTGTCGGGACTATAAACTTGTACTGTCAAATATACTATCTTCGGCCATTCCTTATAATGATTTGACCTGGTTTCAAACCAGAAAGCCATATAATTTTGTACCACGGAAATCGGTAGCTCGCAGGGCAGAGTTTCGCACTTTGTCTTGTCCCGTTTATTGTAGATGTCCTTCAGTGTGCTCATGGGTGGTTTAAACTCAACATCGTGGGAAAAAATGCTGGTTAAATGACCGATACACGGTGAAATCTATATTCGGATATGTGGCTAAAGTGACCAGATATTGATCTAGCAGATATTGATAAGGCAAACTAAGTCGAACCACTGTTCCAAAGAGTACTTCCATTGGAAAAACAGCTCGTAAAGTTAAATGCTTTGATTCTTTTGTGCGCGGAGCCAAAGCTAAAGCTGAGTTAAAGTTCAGAAGTTCCAGATTAATTCGGTAAAGAACTCAAAAGCAAAAAATTTGTTTAAATTTTATACAAAATATACTTGTTATGTGATGGAAGATGAAACTTTTGGATTGAGAGACTTTTCACAACTTCTGGGTCAATATTTTTCTGTGACTGATGGCCTAGGTAATATTCAAGAATAATAAAACAAAATTCCCCATGATGTTTCTTGTGTGGCAAACCATTTGCAGTTGTAGTAATAGAATCCAATCATTTGTGACATCAGGCTCGATAAATACAGAAATGTCTATTACGGAGTTTGTCTATCTTTATACAATTCAGAATGTCCGATTTGACAACATGCCACTAAGGAAAATGACTTTTAAGTGGTATTTAAACAATAAAAACAATTTTGTAGCACGAGAGGCAAAACCACAAAACTGTTCAGAACTTCGGCCTATGACTCCTGTAGAAAAAGAATTAAAGAACAAAGGAAATATGTGCCAGGATATGTCCGACTTTAGGAATATAGAAATAGAATAATAGAACTATTAGCTTTACACTTAAAGAATACGAATCGGCTCAGAAATATTTTCTGAATCGATTTAGCTATGACTACGACTATGACTACATGTCGCAAGATAATTTGATGAAATTTGGCACAAACGTTTCTTTTGACCTAAGGACGAAGCCTATTGATGGTTAAAATCGGTTCATTATCTCACCTAGCCCCCAAGAATAGGCTTTTGAGTCCCATTTGACGCTATCCCCCATACAAAGTTCCCTTCAGAAAATTACTTGAATATCAATAATTCACTTATAAACATTAGTATTACGATGAAAATTTATAATGATAACCGATATTTCCACTTTTCTACATATAACCTCTCTTCTATAAATTCACTTTTTTGTCAACAAATTGTTAAAATAAATTGTAATAATTTTTTCTAGCTCACTCCTTATAATCATAAATCTATTTTTTAAACAATTTTAATTCAATGTTAATTTAAGTACATTTATATGCTAAATAAAGCACCAAAATAGCTACACAAATGTCAAAAAACAGCAACGAGTTTTATCACTAGTTTCTTTATTATTCTCACACATAACCGTTCTCTCTCTCAAAAATATTTACTCTCTGTTGCTGTAAACATGACAGCAAACTGTTCCCAATCACAATTGTTGCTTTAACTTGGCCAAAGACAAAAAGCTAAACAATAAAACTGTCTCCACAAATATTGGCTTCTTGAAAGTCTTCAGAAATGTTTTTGTTTTGATATTTTTTTTTTTCTGTTAAACGTTTTAGTTTTTTTTGTTAACAAAAACCTAAGAAGAGAATTTGTTTACATACATTTATTTGACTCACATGTCAATGTAAATTTTGTATACTACGTTGTTAGTATGTATGTATGTATGTATGTATGTATGTATGTATGTATGTATGTATGTATGTATGTATGTATGTATGTATGTATGTATGTATGTTTCTGTGAACTCATAAGAGTAATTTTTAAATGGCAACCAATTTGATTTTTGCGCTCTGATATGTTTGTAAAAAGCATCCGTTCCCATTTCCGGTTTCCGCTTTTTTACTACAACTTTATTATACAAAAACATTTAGAAACGTTCAAAGGATGTTGATTATAATTCATATATTTGACAAAAGAAAGCAAAAGTAGAAATATGTATTTACAAAAGAAAACTAATCTATAGATTCTATTTGCTCATGGGTTAAATCGCAATTATTCATAAAATTGCGTTTTAATTCAAATACTATATAACGCAATGACATCATTTCGTTTTGTTGTATAGATAAAAATGGTTTGGTCCTTGAAAAGTTTTACACTTTCCCCTTTTATTTTTCAAATATTTGCTACTTGTTTTAAAAATCTGTCTACTGAAGGCGTTCCCTGATGATTTACAAAATTGCAAATAAAACGATTTTACCTTTATTTTGATTTGTTTGAATGTCTGTTTAAATCAAATCAGATTTCTATCAATCATTTTAACTTCCTTTAAGCCAGCTAATCAGCATGTTTTTGCTATTGCTGCTGCTGCTGTTTTAGAGACAAATACTTTGTCTTTCTTTTACTTCTTAGTGGGGTAGTAAAGAACGTTACCAACAACGGGAGCTATGAAAATGAAAATAACAACATCATTTGTCATTTCCTTGTTAATCGTTAATTTTCAAAATGTATTTTGGTTTTTTTGTGTGTATAGATTTATCTTGAGTATTTAAGTGTGTATATTTTTTTTCATTTACTTTTTAGGGGAATTTTTTGGCTTTAAAATTTTTATTTTTTTTTTAATTTATGTGAAGGAATTTAATTTTTATTTTTAGGAAGTGCTACAGACTTTACATAATATATTAAAAATATATAAAATTTTTTAAAAGCTGCAAATACTGCAAAAAGTTTTTAGAATTACATTAATGAAAGTTTTTACTTAAAAATTAAAATTTCAAGGGAATAATAGCGATAATTAAAATCTCCCTTTTTTCATAAATAATCTTTTGCAATATCACTAAAAAAGAAACGATCATTTAAATTTTCTACCAAAAAACCATTTTTAATATGAACAAGTAAGAGTGTTATATTCGGCTATGCCGAATCTTATATGCCCACCATCAAATCGTATACCGTGAAAGGAATATTCCCTTGTAAATAAACTGTGATATATTTGAATCTATGCTTTTGTTTTTATCTCATTTATAAGTTTTATGTTGACTTTTTATCATTAGTATATCGATATAAATATGAACCTCAGGGTGATACATACATGGAGAAGGGCTTTTAATGAGTTCTTAAGTCAACTATGAACCGAGCTCTTCCGAATTAAAAATATTAGTTTAAAAAAAAAAATGTTTTTGTTCAATTTTTATAACCACAAACTGTTTTTTTGCAAGAGGGGTTATTTGATTGACCGATCCTCATCAAATTTGGTAGGAAGATTTCCTTTTCTATAAATATTAAGCCATTAATAATCTTAAATGGGACCATATATAAGGGGTTGGGTCAGTTATGAACGGATCCTCATAAAATTTGGTAAAGAGATTTTGGTTCGTAGGAAACTTGTTTATGCAGAATTTTATCGCTGTATTCGTATTTTTTTAAGCCCGTAATGAACGTTAAAGTTATATTCTGAAGCGGACCTTATATGGTCAATTATGAGCCAACCCTCATAAAATTTGGTAGAAAGATTTTGGTTCCTACAAGATTTGTTTATGCCAAAAAACAGTAATGAGCTTAACGCTCATATTCTGTAAGGGACTTTATATGGGGGATAGAGTTAATTATGGGCCAATCATCATAAATTTGGTAGAGAAATTTTGGTTCCTATAAATATACTATACTAAAACAGCTCATTACTGTTTTAGTATATATGGAGCAATTATGGGCCGATCCTCATAAAATTTATTAGGAAAATTTTGATTCGTATAAAACGTGTTTATGTCGAATTTCGTCGCTGTACTTGAATTTTTAAAACAGATATTACTTGTGGAAAATTTCAGCCCTCTACCTTTTTTCTTTCGGACTCTATCGTGTTTTCAACAGACGGACAAACAGACAGACATGGCTAGATCGTCTTAGAATCTAATGAGGATCAAGAATATATGTCATCTGAAACGCAAGCGGCCCTAACTAACCAAAAATTCAAAATCGATTTTATTGGTGTTTCTATGTATTGCATCCGACCATAATTATCGATTTTATTGTCAGAAAGCAAAAGGCCCTACCTACAAAAACATTTAAATATTAAAGGCAAAAGTCCAATTTATCCATTTTTATATACCCAATTGTCAACTATCATAACAAATGAAAGGTTTCACTATTAAACAATTTATTTATTTACTACAAATAAATCGCGTTGATAGAAACAGACTTTTCAATTTAAATAGTTTTTTGCTTCTCCTGTAAAATTTTAAAAATGTTTGCGTTTTAGGTGACGATATATACTTTTCTGGGTTTTAGACCAATATTTCGATGTGTTACAAACGGAACACATCTTTTTTGATGGTGAGAATTAAAACTAAATAAAATGTAACCAAAAATCTATTTTTTAGTGGATGAAAAAACCTTGTAGATCTAAGTTTAAAAGGATAAAAATGGAAATTATCACTAATTTTACAGGCCAACGATGAAAACACTATTTAAGTAAACTTCAGAGATCCTCCACACAGGGAAAAGGAAATATAAACGCCTGGTATCAAATTGACACCAAAGATTTTATAATTTTTCAATAACATCCGTTGTCAAAGTATATACATACGTACGACAACACTATGTAATGTTGACAACAACAATTCGTTGTCGAAATCTAACTTTTATACAAATCCGTTGTCTAAATGTTAACAAACGTGGAAAGCTCACTGCTGGCATTGGATTGTTTGTCAATAGTGAGCTTACTACGTTTGTTAACATTTATACAACGGATGTGTATAAAATTTAGATTTCGACAACGAACTGTTGCAATGTTGTCAACATTACATAGTGTTGTCGTACGTATGTATATACTTTGACAACGGATGGTATTGAAAAATTATAAACAGTTTGGTGTTAATTTGGTAACAGGCGTGTATATTTCATTTTACCTCTGTGTGGTATTATTTGGTTCGTTGGTCCCGTAAATTACAATAAAAAAGTCGAATATTGACAGTCTTTCCCTTTATTTTAATGTAAAAATACATTCCGGAAAAATTTCGGCCGGTAAGACTACGTCACGGCTCAGAAGTGAAAATTTTAACACTTAATTTATATTTTTCGTTTTTAACAGCAAATACTTAGAATATACATATATGGGCAATTTCGTGTCAAGTGACCCATCTTTTAAAATCGATTTTCAGCATTATCGGTCAGAAGTGAAAATTTTACCACTTAATTTATATTTTAGGTTTTTAACAGCAAAAACACAGAATATAATTTTAATTTGTTTTTTATTTTTTCAAAAAACTCCCTTAGGCCATTTCCTTTAAGAGCTTTGTTTTGATTAATTCGATTTAAGACCTCATTTTTATAAGATCTTAAATCGGAACTGGAAAAATATTGAAAATATGTGATCACTCAAGGTTCATATCATCTTAAATTGGCTGTAAAACCTTCAATCGATACATTTTCTTGACCAGCAGGTTTTGTACTTTAACCATTCTGATTTCTCTGTAATTGGGTTCATATACTTTAGCTATGCTTTACATAAGTACTAAATGTAAACTTCTCCATAATTTCCAAATTCGTTACGGTATAGTTTTTATTGTTTTTTTCATGATTTGGTTTAACTTTGTCTTGTGATGATTTCTTGTTGATTTTTTAATTATATTCCAATTAAGGAAACATCTAAAAACTAAATTAGCCTTTAATTCCTTTAATAAGGCAAAATTGAAGAAAAATAATTTAACTCAAATCTTTGTAAATCGTTAAATATAAGTCTCAAATTGAGAAAAATTTATTAATACTCATTTGTCTTAATTTTAACAAAACTTTAACATTCAGTTATAATCAGTTAATTTAAAACTAATCAAGCAGAAATTACTTAATTATAATTTATGTGCTGCTTTATTAATTGCAAATTCCAATATAATTACTATAAAATTTACCGAATAAGATAAAAGAAATAAAGCAAATTCATTATTTATGGTAAATAAGCCCAATAATGTAAATTCTTGCAATTGAGGCCATATCATATCCGTTTCTACTATTGACAATAAACCTGGAGACTGTAAAATAAAAATATGATAAAAAGTCGAAATTTTACAATTTAAAACACAATAAAACTAACATTTCAAATATGTACTACCTTCATGAAATACAATTCTTCACGTTGCAATAATAGATCTTTAACCTGGCGTTGACTACGATTACACAAATAAGTGACCAAAATCAAGGAATATAATTCCAAGGCCACACTCAGGATATAAACGATAAATGTCCTAAACAGATGCTGAGTTGTTACATAATAATCCAGCAAGGCATAAATATTACACAGAATCGTAACAAAATATAGTAAAATATTTAAAAATATGCCAAATTGAAAAGTTTTTATAAACAATCGTATAAGTTTCTGTAGAGAATTTTGCACATCGATCAATTGCAATATTTTTAAATTATTGCCTAAGATGTGTTTGCATTCAAACTCCTTTTCCAATTGCAAAGAACAGCAGAGCATTATTAAGATACACACAAAGATATTTAAGGCAAAAATATAATTCAATTCCTGCAAATACAGCACAAATACAAAAGCCACTATACTTTGAGTGGAGAACTTATAGGCCGATTTAATTATAAATGGAAAGTTTAAGAACATTTCATATATACACAAGCTCATTTTGAGCATTAGAGCCACCATTATTTTGAAACTCACAAAATCTCTGTCCAATTGCATAACTTTCATTACAATTTCATTGAATAAATTTAAAATTTCAACAATTCTCTCACGATAACAGATGTGAGTGATCATTAGCAGAAGAGAGCATACAACATCATTGGCCATGGTTACTTTGGCTATAATGATAAATAGATTATCTTGATTACTGCGAGTATTTGAATATAAATCTGAGGCCATTTTAAACATAAATGGTGATACTACTATATAGAAAATACACAAAAATATGGCCATTGCGGTGATCAAACGATGTGTACGAAATTTCCATTTTAGCAAAGACTTTGAGGTTGATTCCATTTCCGGTGCAATCTTGGTTATATTAGCCATTGTTTTTGTAGTTTTATAGTATATAAATGGTGCCGTTAGAATGGTTTGATTTATAACCACCATTACACGTATGATCACAAAAAATATTTTATTCCAACAATGACGCATATTTGACACTTGACGTGACCAGTGACAGTTACATAAACTTCTAAACATGATGTTGCTGATGAGCAATAGTTGTTACGATTTTCTATTCTCACATGTATATTGCTGTCACTGCTGTTGTTATTGTCCTTTATACTATTAGTATGTTTTTTTCCTTTGTTGTACTATTGTTTTAGTTATTTGCTGGAAAAAAGTGAAAAAAAAATATTAGAAAATAAACACAAGTGTAGCACATGTCAAAAACAGAGATTTCAAAGGATTTATACAAATATTATTTGCTTTGTTTTTTTTTAGTGTGTTGATGTTATTTATTAGACAAAAACATATCAGCAGGTGTGGAATTTTGGAAGGTTTAAGTTATTTATGAATGGAATTTCCATATAAATTCAATTATTTTTTTAAGTGGTAGAAGAAACTTATTTAAACAAAAATATTGAAACATTTTGATCATTACAATTTTTTACACAAAATCAGTATTTAGATTAACAAGTCGGGCGTGACCGACCATATGATACCCTACACCAGTTATGAATACTTAATGTGATTTATTTTTCATAATAATTCATTGTTCCGATACATTTAAGCAATTTATGGATGAAAAACTAATTTTCTGAAAGAGGCTTTATATGGGGGCTAGGGGCAAGTATGGACCAAGCCCGATAAAGTTTTGTGAATATATTTATATTTATATACTATTTATTTGTGCTGAATTTCATCGCGATATTTGTGTTTATAAGTTAATGTTGGACATTCAAGTAATTTTCTAAAGGGGACTTTGTATGCAGCTATGAGGCCCGATCTTTATGAAATTTGGCAAGGTCATCAAGGCTTGTATAAAACTTAGTTGTGCCGCTTTTTATCGATATACAGGTATATTAAACATAATTATGAGCTCAGAAGCCCTTTTCGGGGGGTTCTGCTGTATGGGGGCTAGGTGAAATAATGGACCGATTTTAACCATTTTTAATAGTCTTCGTCCTTGGGTAACAAAAAGCGTGTGTGCCAAATTTCATCCAATTATCTTGAAAATTGCTACCTGTACCTAGCTCACAAGGTTTACATGGACAGCCTGCCGGCCAGACGGACGGACGGACATAGCTACAAGAGATACTTTTTGAATTTTATATAATGGTGATCCAAGAAACATAAAATTAAGCATGGAGAGCCGGAGCAAACGAAAACCTATAAAGAGGATTTTTAATACTTTTTCCTTCTTAAAAAAGCTAGTTTCTATAAAATTGAAGCTAGATACATAAAATTAAACATTCAGAGTCCTAAGTGAATGAAAATCTGTCTGTAATAAAGTATTTTTAAGGTATTTTTCGGTTATTATACAATATTGAATGTAGAAACATATAATCAGACGTAAACAAATTCTGACGTAATGAAAATCTATGAAATAATTTTTTGGTACTTTTTCGTTCTTTAACTGGTACTTTTTCAGTATTTTTATACTATTATACCTAAAGAACGCAAAAATAAATTCGCAGCCTCCTGATTGAATAAAAATCTATAATAGGGGACTTACAGGTACTTTTCGGTTTCCAATATACCCCCCATCAAAAAAGTGGGGTATATTGATTTTGTCATTCTGTTTGTAACAGATTGAAATGTTGGTCACAGACCCACAAAATTATATATATTCTGGGTCCTTTTTTTTTAGTTAAGGAGATGCGAGATTTCAGTCATTTCCCATTTTTACTCTTTTCTTTACCCCCTAAAAATTCCAAGCTTCAAAGTTACCGTTGAAATCATCGATTATCAGAAAGGTAATATGAAACCTTATGTTGATTTTAACTTAATCTCAAAAAAAGAATAAAATCTTTTAAACACTTCAAATCCAAGGATTTTCCCAAAGATTTGTCACAACTTCGTGTATTCCTCTTTTTATTGTAGTTTTTAATCGCGTGTTAAAGTTTTTAGTTTTTTCTTCTTGTTGTTGTTACTCGAATGCGTCTTTTAGTACTTTTCTCGCTTTTTTAATATTGTTGTGCCAATTGGCGTTGCTGTTTTTTTTTTTTTTTTTCATTTTATTATAAACGGATATCTGGATTAGTGTTTTGCCATATATACAGATACGTTCATATATATGTACATATAATACACAAACTTATAAATAAAAACAGTAAGAGACAAAGTGTAGCTATGTGTGAGTGTCCTTTTATATCCTGCCACTCACACTATAGTTACTTATAGTTATTTTTATTACTTTTTTCCTTTTGAACGCTGTTGTCTTTTGTGTTACGTTGCGGTTGGTTGAATAGTATTTGCAACACTAGTTTTGTGTTGCCTCTGTCAGTCACTTTCCAGTTGTACTCTGTTGTGTTGAATTTCCGAGGTCTGTTTTATGTGTGATTAATAATTGAAAGTATTTAAATGGACACTTGCTTCATATTGAGTCATTATTTATGAGCTTTGGGAGTAATTTTGCTATTTGTTGTTGTTTCCTTTTTTTATTTGAATTTTTTACAACTTTTCCTCTATAGCCTGGCTGCATTTGTGTGTGTGTGTGTAAGTAAACGCTCAAATGTGGCAGACATATTTTTTTTTGTTATATTTAATTTTTATGCAATTTTTTATAGTTTTTTCACGTTTTATTTGTCACTGAAAAATACATGTCGCGTCTGCAATTGTGTTCGAGAAAAAAAGGATTAGTATCCTGTTTGTTTTTTTTTTTTTGTTGTCCTATTTGTTGGTTATGTTTTCGTTGTTTTCTAGTTCACATAAAACATGTTGCTACAAGTTGTCATTTCAAGCAAATTGAACTCTACTTTTTTTCATACTAAATATTTCCATTTTCGTATTGTGAAAATACTTTTTCTGATTTTCCTGTTTTTGTCGTGTTCACGTACCAAAGTGGAGTTGTCTTTAATTTCTTTGTTCTTTTTTTCGAGTATTTAGTTTTTATTTTCCCCCTTTTTAAGGTTTTAGGTTGTTGTATGTTGAAATATTTGTCAATCGTGCAAAATGGTTTAGTATTTTGGCAAAGTGGAAAGCTCGTGCTGATCCTTGTGTTATTTGGGATTATATGTGTCTACAGAATTTTAAAGTTTATAAATCATGTTTAAGGAGTTAGTAGAAAGAGTCGATTGTTTTACGTATTGAGAGATATATGTATGTTTGTATATAAAAGAAATAATAAAGTTTAATAAAAGATTCAGAAAATTGAAATTAATGGAAATATGTATTAGTTGGCAATGATTTAATTGGAAATTTTATAATATCAATTGGATTTTGAATGATTAAATAATGAAAAGTGCGTATAAATTTAAAATATGTAGTGAACTGGAACCGAAGTCCCAGGTTCGTATTTTAGATGGCTCTTTTTATTATTAAAAAACCAAACTAACTTACTCAACAACTTCTTTGTAAGCGAGAGTGTAAGTACTTCTTTTGCTCCCTATCTGTACTATCTGTTTGTATGTACTTGCCTCTAATGATATTAACGTCTTAAAATGCCAATGAGTTAGTAGTAAAAAGAAAAGTTTTATTTATTTTCATGATGTATACTATTTGAAAAATTAAGAAAATCCAAGGAAAATAATTTTATTAAAAACTAGCATACCCTGGATGCTTCGCTACCCCAATCTAAATTAAATACAAAATTTTGATTACCTTTATACTTTAAAAAGTATCATTTGAAGAACGAAAAACTACGAAAAAGTTTCTTTTCATTCACTCAGGTCCCTACATATTAATATTTTCTATGTTCAATATTATAGAAAATTTAAAAAGTACCATTTTCAGAATGAAAAAGTATCAAAAATCTCCGTCTTACAAATTCTCATTTAATAAGGACGAAACATCGTCATGATGTGCTTCGGTTTCCCACTATGGAATAATAAAAAAATACAAAAATTCCTCATACAAATTCTTATTCAGTCAGGACCCTGCATGTCAAAACTTATGTTTCTAAGTTCAATATTTGAGGGACGAAAAAGTAACAAAAAGTTCCCTCTTAAATAATATCATTTAATAAGGATCGTAAATGCTTAATAATCATGTGTTTTGGCTTTTTGTTATAGAATATAGAAAAAGTACCAAAAGTACCAGCTCTTATAGATTCACACTCAGTCATGTTAAATTATACGTTTCTAGGTTCAATATTAAAGAAAATACAAAAAGTACTGATGAACGAAAAAGTACCAAAAATTTCCCCTCTTATAGATCCTTATTCAATCAGGACCTTAATCTGCCTTATGTAGTTAATCTACCTTATGTATAAACGATTATTAAGTTAAGAATGTTTGTTAAAATCTGTTTTTATATGGAAAAAATGTGTAGTAAACCATAATTTAATTTTAATAACCCTTTTTGCATAAGGCAGTAAATATTTTGTTTCTAAACTAATATTTTTAAATAAAAAAAAAAATACTATTAGAACCATGAAATAGTAGAAAAATTTCTTTGTGAAAACTACTACTTATAAAAAGAAAACGAAACTAAATTTCCGTTTTCCCCTTTTTCCGAATTTTGTCAAATGTTGCAGTCTTAGCCCCGTATTCATAAAGATATTAATCGTTTATTTTAGGTTTATTACACACATTTTTTTCATACAAAATTCCTACAATAAACCATCAACAACTTTATTAAGCGTTTATAAATATGGGGGTTAGTCTATAATTAAACAGGTATTTATACGTCAATAAATCGAAAAAGGGTTTTTAATTTTTACACCCCAATAGGACTGAATTTTAAAAAAATACGAGACAGAAATAAAAGTTTATTATTTAAAAAATGTAAAGGCAAAAAATGTTCCAAAATCATGTTTGTTCGACCTTTTATTGTGCAATTAATAATTAAAAAAGAAATGAAATGCAATTTTGAGTTGTGAACCTCGTATAATAAATTCTTATACAAAATACATAGCCAATTTAGTGTGACACACAACCATC